CTGTCTTTGTCCGTAACAATATTCTGCCCATACCATGCTCCGCTGTGCGGCTGCAGGTTGGGCTCGAGTGGGAGCTCGTACGGCACAACGGAATGAGTGAGTTCCGTAAAAAGAACGATCAGTATGCGCCCCTCTCCCAGAATCATACACTCCTCAATGCCTTAAAGATGGCACTATACGGAGTTCACAAAATTTTTCAATGGATACGGACTATGAAGAACATTTTATGAGGAGCATTGACAAACGGATAGGCCCGACGCTGTATGAATGGAGATTGCACGGTCTTAAGAAACCCCACGATTAAAAGCTTTTTTGAAACTTATTCTTTTTTTGGGGTATGAAATGTGTAGATTACATGGTTCTCTACCAAACGAGTAAAAGAAAGCCTATTTTGTGTGTGTTTTCAATAAAATATGTTTGAATTTATATGACCATCAAAAATAAATACGTACAATGCACGATACTCAAATAGTATTTTTTTTACCGAATGTGGTTTCTACAGGAGGTCCAAAAAAGTTCATCCAACAGCTGACATCCTGACGAGTCCAAAACATTATAGGATTATGCCGAATGATAATGAATATTACAACTCCACCTAATTAATCTTTCCTAATCGAAAACGCACTTCAGGATTCCGGTCAAAATTTCATGAGTTCGACCACTCACTTTAGCCGATTTTTGGTAGAGTTTTTGGTTGGCCCTTCGTCATTAGGATGGCATTCGCTGATCGGAATCGCCTCGAGAAGTCGGTGCTGCTGAAATGTCTACATAAGTTCATTGTTCTGCACCCGCCAAGCGCAATTCTTTAATAGGAAGAAAGCTCACATTTTAAAGAGTTCGGCACGTGGAGCAGTCAGGTAGTAAAGAAATACTCGAAATATTGTTAGATGGAATCGATACGCCAGCTAGTAGGTCAGGAGTGTTAAAACGTTGACGAATTTGTTAAACAACAGTTAGCATTTTCCTGCCTCGCGCATATACTTAGTTTTTTGCTCGAGTTAACTTTCATATTTCTCATTTTGGTTCTAACTTACGAGTTTAAAAAAGGTGTAAGTCGAAATATACTAGGCCTATCATAAGAGTTGAGATTCGAAGAATATAAACTTCTTTCGCAAGCAGATGCCAGTCTTCAGTAGCTCGGGTGGCTAGAACACTCAAAGTCCATTCGGGAGATCAACGCTTCGATCGTCTCAAGATCTATGTTTTCCTATTTCTAGAAGGGGACGGGAAGGCGATCGCTGGGACCAATTGTTTATTTATCCGACGTTTCGAACTCTCACGCGAGCCCATCGTCAAGGACTGAAAAAAAACTGTACAACTCATTGTATACTAAGCTCACCTCTGCCGGGGATGACCTCTAGCTGAGCTGCTGATTTGCTCACGGAGTGCTTGATAGGCGATCGGCAGATCGATATGTCGATTAATCGAGCCCTCGGTTGACTGCCATGCTTCCTGCAACAGGCGGTAAACTCGGTCGTCCGACTGGCCCAATATTCTCACGCACTGAAAGTCGAAGCCATGCCCTGGCGAGGAGGCGTGGGTGGCTACCAAGGAGAATTTATCCCTCCGTCTCACAGCCAACACGTGTTCGTGCAATCTCGTGCGTACCTGTTTGCCGGTTTCACCAACATAATTGGCTTGACCACAACTGCAGTCTATCCGGTAAATGACCCCCGATTTCCGACTGGTGGGAATAGGGTCCTTGGGGTGCATGAGTTGCCGGTGTATTGTTGCTTCAGGTCTGTGAACGACACCAATCCCAACTTCGTTCATCAGTCTAGCGAATTCTTCAGACACACCGGCTATGTACGGCACTGCGCGCCAACATTATGTGTTGGCTGCCCTTTCGGTTGTCTTCCCCGAGTTTCTCGCCGGCCCTTTACGACAAAATTCCCAGGGTAGCCGTTCGTTGTAAAGAGTTCCCACAGGAACTGGACCTCAGCCTTCTTGTCGGCTGCCTCGGTGCAATGGGTTTCTACCCGCCGGTAGAGTGTTCTCACGCAGTTGCGTTTGTGCGAAAGGGGGTGATTGCTAAGAAAACTTAGAATACGGGAGGTATTCGTTGCCTTCCTATTTCTGCAGTATTCACGAACGTTCTATTTGCTACTTATCGATTTTCGCCTAGTGGACGAAGCAACATACTATTTCTACTTCGCAGTTACAAACAAACAACGGTTTATTGTCTGTGTTTTTTACAATGAAACGGGCAGGTGTTTCCTACCGCGCTGCTCCATATAGGGTCGGTTTAGACCAATACAATTTTATTGGAGACTCCGGTAATGGGGTTTAAAGGCATAAAATTTGTCCTGAGGCCACAAGTCCAGGGGCTGGATAGAACTCAGTTTAAAGTAATGCCCTCTCGCGTAAGAACGCAATATTTATTATGCTGCGGTTGTTAGAAGGGAAAACGGGCAGGTATAAAATTTCAAAGTTCACGCAAAAATGACATATTTTTCGTCAATAAAATAACTCCAAATATATTCTGGGCAAGAGAATGACATTATATGAATCACGTTAGGCCCATAAATAAAATCCCCAGGCACACTGGAATAACAGCAGAAGGGCCAAGGTTATAGTTGTTTTCGTGAATTTCACTGATCATTGCATTTGCGCCTGTCGTCACGCCTTTGCTAATATTGTACTTTTTCCACAAATGGTGGCCGCATTAAAACTACCGCAAGAGTGGCTAGTTGTGCACTACTGCAAATTACGCAATGCACAGGCCTGGACTATGCCGCAAATGAGAATCAAATGGACTCCCATTTTTCCGTCAGTTAGGCCTCGTGACTTATAAACGGGGCTGATTTCACTCTTCGTTGCTGGTTAAGGAAGAGGATAGGCCTTAGGCTTGTAAGACTACGTAAAGCACCCCATTTAGGTCAGACAGAATGCATCACCGTTCGCTGGCAGGGGAATTTTACGAAATGCATGAGATTTTTAGTCAGAAGAAGATTTTCAATAGGCCACATAATTCAAATATTCGTTTGGCGACTATTGGAAACGCCCCATAAAAGATGTTTTCTTCGAACCTCCAGGGTAAATGCTGCTCAGGGTAAGAGATACTCGTCTATGAAAGGGACAGGTAAAAGAAAAGGAGAACTGATGTTTGTTACACCTGGGTTCAAACAGTATTTTAAAACCAGAGCGAATTAAACTTAGTGCGCATTTGGCGACTGGCAGAGTTGAAAAGCATCAGTGTCTTCAAAGGATTAAAAGCCTGAATGCTTTTCACGGAAAATGTTACGAGATGAATTTCCAACAGATATGCACCCTGCGCAAATTCAACTACATAACAAGCCCAAAATGGACAAGTCAGAATGGGCGGCGTAAAATGTTGCCTTTACTGCTGAGATCTAGAAACTGAGTAGTCAAGACTACTTTGAACTTTGAAAAACATCATTGGTGACTTGCAGATAGAGTACCGACACAGACGAGGGAGACTGGAATGGCTACTCTGGGTTTGCGAACAGAAGCGAAGGGGCGAGTTCTAGCAAGTAGTCGCGAAGAAGGAGACACGATGGCTGGAACAGGAGTTTTATTAGCCTGACGTTTCTGATTCCCGCTCGAATCCATCATCAGAGACAGAGTCAGATAGGGGTGGTAACTTCCCAGGTGTTGCATTATTTATAGGATGTAGTTGCTGGACCGCTACATGCCTATTGCAGTTGGCAGCTCCCGAGTGCATTACGACTTGTCTGGCCAGGTGTTGAAGCATGCAGTTGCCGTGCACTTGTGTACCGATCAAGATTGTCGATTCCCACGCTCATCGCACGCAGTCGAGTTGCTGACGGCCGGATTTCGTCATCCATGTGGGCTCTTGGACAATTTGGCTCACCGATATTGACACCAGGGACAGTGGTCATCCGCACACTGTCCTCGCGGCTAACTATTTTGCTTAGACAAAGTCTCAGCGCCGAATAAGGAGCGGGGGGTCATTGCGCTTGTTGATTGACTGAGGACCAGAAAACCATGACTCGAGCAGCTCGCGGCTCGGACGATTGTCCACTCTAGCAAGAATTTCGGCGTCGTCAAACTTGAATGTGTGGTTGGGTCCCGTCGAGTAAGCTGCGACTTGGGAGCTGGAATCTTTCTTCCTCATCACTGCTGCGCGCTCGGCCATCCGCGTCCGCATTATCTTTCCGGTTTCTCCGACATGGTTGCTTTGCCAACAACTGTACCAGACTCGGTAAACGACTCCAGATGTTTCTTGTCGTGGCAGTGGGTCTTTCGGTTTCATGATCTGGCGCCTTATGGTTGCCTCCGGGCTGTGCGATAATACATCCTGTTAGTACTGCAACATCTGGACAATGTACCACCCTTATCTGTCTCTGTCTCTGATGATGGATTCGAATGAGAATCCTAAACGTCAGGCGAATGCAGCTCTTGTTCCGGTAGTCGTGTCTCCTACTCCGGGCTCATTAGCCATCGCCATTCGACCTTGCCCAACCTCAGGTTCGCAGGATCTGAGATTCGAACCCGAGGTCTTGGATCATTGACCGTTAGTATGTCCAACGTTCTATAATCGAGCCACGAGCTCGAGGTCCTGCCGATTGCGGTCAGGAAATTTAGCTCTCGCTGATCAGGTTACGGGACAGGTTTATTGGCCGACGTCAGGTTTGTCTGGCCTGAGATTTTTTTGGTCACCGAGAATCAATGAGTTCAACGCGCTACGATTAAGTCCCCTGCCCGCTGCCGAGTGGATTGCCTTAAGAAAACAGTAGATATGCTGTCTCATGAAATGTTAATTAAGGCTCTGAAATATGACTTTGATTCGAAAAGATTACTGAAGTAGGGTTGTAATAGTTATGATCGCGAGGCATAATTATAAGATATTTTAGGCCCACCAAGGTTCCGGCTTTTAAATAAGGTCCTTTTCGGCTGTCGGTAAACACTACGCTCTGCGAAAATAACTACTGAGATAGTATAAAGTCTCCTACCGATTTTTAATGATCCTATAATTTCAACTATGTTTCATAGAGGAAGAATAAGAAAATCTTCTCTCATGTACTCATATGGTGGCATATTACGCCTTCTTCTTCTTCTTCTTCTTCTTCTTCTTCTTCTTCTTCTTCCTCTTCATCATCATCATCATCCTCATCATCATCATCCTCATCATCATCATCATCATCATCATCATCATCATCATCATCATCATCATCATCATCATCATCATCATCATCATCATCATCATCATCATCATCATCATCATCATCATCATCATCATCATCATCATCATCATCTTCTTCTTCTTCTTCTTCTTCTTCTTCTTCTTCATCTTCAGCTTCTTCTTCTTCTTCTTCTTCTTCTTCTTCTCCTTCTTCTTCTTCTTCTACTATAAATTCGACTTTATTTACTATATAGATAGCACATTACGTACTTTTCAAATTGCATACTTCAAGAAAGCCGAATGCAGTTGTCAAAAATTATTTAAATTCCAATATAAATTTTTGCCCCACCACCAATGGTCTTATACATTCAAATACATTTTATAGAAAACATGTACAAAATATATTTTCTTTTGCTCATTTGGAAGGAAATCAAATTGTCTTTCTATTTTATGCCCGAAGACAATGTGTATTTAGGTTTTAAAAAAGTATTCCAATTCCCGAATAATGTTGAGCCTTATCTGCCATTGCGCCAGCTACTTTTTTAGTATGAATAAAAATATCCATTCCTTCACGCATTTGGTAAGAAACATGCGCCTATGGAAAATCAATGTGAAAAATGTATGCTACATAAGTAGTCATTTTATAACGAGTGTGGTTACTGCAGGTGGTCAGAAAAAAGGTGCATTCAAAAGCCGACATTCTGGCGAGTCCGAAATGTTATAGGGTTATGCTGCATGATAATCAGTATAACAACCCCACTTAAGTAATCCCTCCTAATGGGAAACGCATTCCAGAATTTTGGCTAACATTTCATTAGATCGGTCACGCACTGTACATTCTGGAGGCTTTCCGTTAAAGAAATATCACTTGTTCATCTAGGTTTCTAGGAAGGTGTCCTATAACACTAATGGAATTACGCGATGTATATGGACCAGGTTGTATACTTTACAAACAGCACCAATAAAAATGCTGCTGCGATGCGATACGAGGGGACATTTCGCAGCCTTTAAAAACACTAAAATTAGAAACCTTTTGGAGCTGAAAAATATTCTTTCTTTGGGTAAAAAATTGAAGCGGACGTAATGTGTTACCAAATGCGTACAAGGAAAAACAGTTCTATATATCTCCCCTATAAAATATAATCGGATTCATAGGAGCGTCAACAATCGAAAGAAAACTTTGTACTACTTAAGTAGTCATTTATTTTTGCGGACGGTCGAAAATAAGCTCATTCAAGGGTCGGTATCCTGTCATGACTGAAGTCTCTCGGAATTATGCTGGACGATTATTAATATTACAATCCCACTTAAGTAACCTCTTCGAGTCGAAAATATATTTCGGGGCTTCGGATAACATTTTACGGAATAGTGTATGTGGTGTATTTATTATGATGGAGGTGTCTTCAAGGATGGGGTCATGGGACCGGATCTCAACTGACAAAGAAACCGGCCTACGGGGGTTGGATTTAATAACACAGAGTGACCAAGGGCATACTCGTTTGAATCCTAGGTCGCGAAGACCCGGAGTTAGTTAGGACTGACTGAGGAAGTTTAAGTAGCCAGAAGCCACCATGTGAGCCCTTCTTGTCTTTGCCCTTTCTCCGCCTTGCATATACTACTAATCACCAAGCGACTGCCCCAAGTGACAGCTGGACAAGCATGTCCCCTATTCGAATACGCAAACTCTCTCCCCGGCAACTTGATCAACTGAAATTGTGTTTTTCCTGAGATTCGCTGGCGCTATATGCTGACTACGTGCATCAGCATCTAACTTTAACCACAGGGAAGTGTGCATCTTAGCGGATCGTGGCACTGAAAATGTTGCCTGTCTCCGAATGCATGCGTGCGCGCTCCCACTTCCAAAAAATGCTGGTCACAGTTCTGAGCACGCAAAGTGACCGCAATTAAGGAGTCAGGAGCGTTCAGCGGGAAACAGTTTTTGGAGTTGACGGCCAAAACGCCGGAGCTGTGCCATTATTTGCGGAGACTAATTAATTTGCATTCGCATGGCCAGGCCAGTCCACCATCTGTTGCATGAGCCGTCCGGATTGTTTTTGGCCGGGAGTCATCTAGAAACTCACCGCGAATGGCATCAATGCTTGGCAATTTCTCGTGGCATCACTCGGAGATGAGCAGATTGTACCAGCTGAATGCCTAGCCACACAGACGATCCTTTGCGTTTTTAGCCCATTCAATGGTAGATGTCTAAGGCTGTTATTTCAACCCGGAGATTGATTAGACCGGTGACGGCCAGTAGCCTCTCAGGCGTAGCCTATACTACCAGCAATATTAAAACTAAATTAGATTATAAACTGGGTCTCTGCAAAGTTTTTGAGTGCTCAAACCGCCTCCCCCAGGGTATTTGCACTTACAGCAGATGAGTTGACACATACAAATGTTAGCCGAAATTCTTAAATGCGTTTCTGACTCGAAAAATTCCTTAAGTAGGGTTGTAGTTTTACTCAGCCTGCAGCACAATCCCATGATAATTCATTTTCTTCAGGATGCCGGTTTTTAAACAAACTCCTTTTCGTCCGCCTCCAAAAACAACTCTTTGCAGAAAATAGCTACTTATTTAGTATGAATAAAATATTCATTCTTTATTTAGCTTGGTAAGAAACTTGCGTCTTAAGATTTTAGGCTTGAAGAAAAAGCAAATTGGCTTTAAAATTTTTCCTATTCCCGAATAATTTTGAACCCGACCTGCACTTAGGGTTTGAAAACTACAAGCTGTATATTTTCCGTGTACGGTCAATCATGCATTTCTATACCCTGTTAAGAGGAGATAATATGCGGTTCATAAAATTTAGCCCAAATGTCAACGTTACAGGCAACATTAGTAAATGCAACGACACGATGTTTTATGAACGGGCATTTCACGTTCTTATAAAATCTCATGATGGGAAACTCCTTTAAGGCCGAATTATACGCTTTTTCAAATCCAAAATCAAAAATGAGGTAATTTTCTACCAAATGAGTAAAAGAATGAATATATTTATGCGTGTTTTTAATGGTATATATGGACTTATAAAGGCATCAAAAATCAAGGAGAAAATTCACACTATTTGAGCAGCCATTTTTTACAAAGTTTAAATTTTGCAGGCAACAGGAAAGTTTTTTCAAAAGCCGGCGTTCTGAAGTAACTGGATTATTATGGGATTATGCTGCATGATGATTAATAGTAAAACCCTACTTAAGTAACTCACTCAGAAGCCGGCATTCCGGCGTGACTGAAATATCTCAGAATTACGTTGCATGATAATTAATATTTAAACCCTGCTCAAGTAATTTTATGGAATCGTAAATGTATTTCAGAATTTCCACTAACAGTTAATGAGATAGTACATCTTTTGCACTGGTACTCCGCTGGTCGGCCAAACGATACAAAACCGAAAGAAATCATCTACCTTCTTGCTGACCAAAAGGAATTTATGTAGTGTACCCTGTGATACTGCAAGCGCTTCCGGTGGGGTACACCGCTGTTGCAAGTTTACGCTGACTGCCCTGTTACTACTCGTCCGCAAGCGCGCGAATGCACTCCCCATTTTTCCACTGCTGTTGTCCTCTAACCTCCCACATACATCAGCATTCGGTAGTTGATGTTTCCATCCCAAGTGACACCTGCTGACATCCAACTTAAAATTAGGGAAAACGCCATCTCGCGAAGCAACCATTGGTGTGGCAAGTAAGGAGTTGTAACGCTAAGAGCAGACCACGACACGCGCAAAGAATGAATGCATGTAAGGAAGTTAAACATACTGCCCAAGCTTTCCCACAAGTTTGGTAGGCAAGTCCACACCACCACCACCACCACCACCACCACCACCACCACCACCACCACCACCACCACCAAGCAATCGGCTGCTAGGCCTTCAACTCCAGTTTGGACTTTCCTCTAGGAACTAGAAAGACAGATATAGAAGCTGGCTTAACTCCTTATTGAAATGAATCGCTTCAGATGGATTATCTTTTGATGATCACTGGTAGGCGAAATGTAGAGAGCAAGCAAAGCTAACTTCGAATAATTAGGAGTCTAAGTAAAAACAATAAAGTAACGTGGTCAGAACGGAAGCAGGGTTTTATTTTCTTTGAAACGCGAACAGCCAACCAAGAGCAACGTGTTCAGGTTAGCGATGAGAATTTCCCGAGTGTCCGTTGATAACCCCTCTGTTTCCTTGTATCAGTCGTTTGGTCGCCGCGAAGGCCAGCCAACATGTTTGTCGTTGTTTAAAATCCTGGTCGTGTTTGTTGTGGAACAGGGGGGAGTCTGTTGGTACATCTAGGTGCGAGTTTACGCCATGTCAGTCACCTGCGCCCTCTTCCACATCCGGTCTTCTTGACTCTGTCTTGACACCGGACCCAGCAGAAGGAGGAAGAGAGAGTGAGGTGGATGCTTTGCAAGTCAACGCTCACTATAAACTAATTCACGTGCACGTCACCCTGCCTGCTTCATCTTGCTATGGAGCACACGGGGAACATCGTCGGATACGACAGTCGGACTATCACCATAACTTCAACAACAAACGCAGCAGCGCTATTCTGGCGATGGAACACCTAGAGGAAATAAAGGGTATGAAATAAATATCCTTGTGAAGCGAGCATTTCTGAACTAAACTCCTCAATCCTCTGATGTTTACTCAGGACGAAACAAACAAAAAGATGGCATAATATCAGTGCTGTCACTACTTGGCAACAAAGTATTAACAAATATGATTTAAAAATTTTCAGTTTTACATCCTTCAGACATGTGCCAAACAGATTTAAATGGTTTGTCTTGAAAGACGATAAAAGCCGTTTAAGTGTAAGGAAGGAGATACGATCGCTGGGATAAGACCCCTATTCAGCTGACATTTTGGATTCCAGCTCGAACCCACCATCAGAGACCCGTATCTGCTATTGTCTCTGATGATAGATTCTAGCAGGAATCCGAAACGCCAGGTGAATAAAGATCTTGTCTCAGCGATCGTGTCTCCTTCCTCCCGACTGCTTCCTGGGCCTCGTCTTTTAGCTTCTATTGGCCAAGTAAGAATGCCTAATTCGCTGCCGTTCTTAGAGTTTGTCTGGGTCCTGTGAACTAAAGTGTGCGAAGATTTGAAGAATTTAAGGGATACGAGAACCGGTCCTATGCGCACAGAAGAACTTCACACAGTTTCCACAGTTTCCATGGCTCAAAGCCGCCAAGCCAGCCGCCCGCGTGTAATTACTTCGCCCGGCGCTAACTGGAATTTTGGTGTTTCCCTCTTCCCCCCAAACCCGAACTACAGCATGATTATCTACTTGCTCGTATCGTTTGATTAATTATTTCAATAGCCCTATATATATGCACGGAATTGATGAGAATCTATTAAAAGCAGACGTATGTTCGCCAAATTGCCTCTTGTATTTTTGAGAAGTGTCGCAACCGTAAAACATTTCAGAGATCCCGCGGTGTTAAAAGGCGTCTAATGAGTACCTACGATTCAGCTCCAAGCTTGCGGAGGCGAAAGTACGAGTCAGATTTATTAGGGAATGTCTTGAGGGAGAATTATGTGCAATTCATTTCGGAAAAGCGTAGCGAAATCAAGATGGCATCTCTCCTTTGGAGTGGTCATGAAGGCAGACCACAATCGAAGATTCCTGAATAACCAAGTCGGTACGTACACAATTATTCATCTAGATTTCTCGACAACACCCCGGACGGTTGGGTCCAAAGTTTTGATGTCCACGCCAAAACCACAACCAACCAAAGTTAGAAGCATAGTTCAAAAATCTCCTGAATCAAGTGCACAACCTTCAGCCAGTTTTGGCGGAGAGCGCAAAACATCTTAAGTTCATGTTAGTCAACTGCACTTATCAGTGCCCGAACAGTGGTCAGAAATATTGGGACTTGCTGACGAAGTCACACATGGAAAACTTAAAGCAAGTTCGGCAGAAGAAAGATATTCCGAAAACTAGGCCAGATAAGGAAAGCGGCGTTGTTTTAACGGACAGGGCAGACTACATTACAAAAACACAGTCATTTCCGTCGGACCAGAAGAAGTTCAGATTTTAACTCCTGAATTTGGCCCTCATACCTCACGGTTCGTAATGAACAGGGAAAAGTGAGGAGGAAAAATGAATAATAACCCATGCTAGTTTTGTGTACACGCCTTTTTTGGTTCAATAACCACCTCTGAATGGAGGAGGATGAGTGGGCTTACATACATGCCTCAGCTCCCAGAGTAGACTGGTGTAGTATTGATCAACCAGCGGTTAAATTGCCATTTCTTTGATCAGGTCTACGGGTCAGAGTCGGCAGACCTGGACTGAAAACGTTGCGGCAGTCACCTTTTGCGGTCTCCCCGTCTCGAGCACCCCCTACAGCCTTTCCTTTCCAAAAAAGGTGAAATCTATTAGTAGCCTGCTTAATTACACAACGTTAAGGTCTCTTTCGGTTAGAAAATTACTTTGTAGAAAGTTGTAATGTGCTCACTAGACGAGCGGTCTTTTGAATGGCTCTGCTATACGGAGAGCTGATTGAGAAGCCTCATATATTTTCCCCCTCTTTGTAAACATCAAGTAAATTTAAACAATTACTTCCGGAGATGTCTTGAACTCGGCTTTCATTGATTGAGTGAGGTGGCTTAGAAAAGGAATGTGACAGACAAAGGCTTGGGCTGTCAGAAGTAATACCTTTCCCTAAGCAAATTAACATCGAGACTAAAAAAGGCTATTTCAGCTGCCGCAGTTGATCAAATTTATCATAAGACGAAAACGGGATCACTGGAACAGGAAAATTATTGGCCAGATGTATCGAATTCGCATTCAGAACCATCATCAGAGACGGTCGCGGATAAGAGTAGCGAAGGCACACTTTCTGGTGTTTTCACCAGAAACACAAGAAAGCTATCCCAGAATATAGGCGGATTGCAGGGGGTGAAGGTTGAAGTGTCCGGTGAATTCACATTAGATTTTTGAAAACTATTCATGATCAACATTAAAGGCCGGATGAACTGATGGCTAATAAATAGATTTTTTTTGATCGGTTTTAGCAGGTCGTCAATAGGATGTGAAAAACTAGCCTACAAAACTATGTACACGTTTTCATCACAAAAATGTTTGACAGGTTTTGACGGACGGACATTTTTCCAGAAATGCACATCCATTTTCAATGTTGGTGAAAATACACCTTTCCAAAGTAATTCGAATGGAATCCCGAATAAACCCATAAATTTTACACGTAGAATATACTACAAAAATATTGAAACAGACCCTTAATGCATTTTCGATTGACAATTAGATATCAAGCAGCAAATTTTCATGTTGGTGAGGCGAGTTCTGTCCAGTTTCGAACAGATTATGGCTACAGAATAAGTTCGTTTAAAAAATCGTAAAAGCGACGATCTTTTATGCTTGAGCGATTTTCATTCTCTAGTACTGGACTGAGAGACTGTATGACTTTATAAAATTTACTGCTATACATACAAGAAAACTAGAAATTATTCACCAGCGGCAGTAGTGAGTGATCCATTCTTTTATTTAATGGGGTTTTCATATAGATTTTAAGTCCGGAATGGGGTTTCTGTGACATAAGTCAAACATCTCCTCTTCCACGGAGAGTATCGCTTGGCAAATCTGCAAAATATGGTTTTCCTGGAGAACAATCAATACTGCGAGTGAATAGTCGTTGTTACCATGGCACCGCCCAAAAATAAGTCGGCAGACTATGGAGGGAATAAATTGTCGGTATGAATCCTTCGTTCATCCACACTCCCGGAAACTCTCCGTTCGTCCCTGTCGACCCCTTCCGGCCCAACGCGCTTGCTGACAGACGACAATGAATAATATTCAAAAAACAATTTGTAAAGGTAGCCGACGAGCCTGACTGTTCCGTACCAAACATCACTGCGTTTGAGGCGTTATTCCTTCTGACGGGCTCGCCACTCTGATTAGAGATTTGACAAACTGAGAATCAGATGAAAAAAGTCAAGACACGTTTTGGTAAGCAAAAAACGCGCAGATGTCTGTTAAAGGCTGTTTCCTCTTTTCTAAGCTTCAGACGCCTTATAAGACGCCTTAAAGACAATTTCATTCTTGCCTTGTTTTTGTTTGCACCAAGTTTTTCCTCCTTGTCATCCTGCCTACTGTGACCAACACAACCCCCCACCACCACTGCCACCAGACCCTAATTATTCGTCTGTTTATGTGGGATTAGACGCATCTACGCCTAGGATAACATAATTACCAACTTATTCACTTGCGAAGGCCTCGGCGACCCCTGCGGTACTCGAACCAGCTAGAAAAATGGAAATCACCCGAGTGTTGCTGTAAAAACAGAAAAGTCTCGTGTTGTTCGTCGTTATCCTGTAGACGGATGTTTTTATTCCAGTGTTGGGACTTTGCCTGACGAGCACATCAGGGAAGACCAACTGGTGTTTCTTTTTTCTTCTTTCGTGGATTGCATGTTTGAGAAGATTGGGTTGTCCAGATTACGGAAACTCTGCAGCATGTTCTCACTGACGATGACCAACGCGTCATCCACGCGACGACGCTAAAATATCGGCGTCTGCTGGGTGAGGACAGTCCCCTCCAGTTCTTACAGGGCCAGTTGTGCCACTAAACAGGGAATTCGGGAGCCCAGTGGAGCTTACAGGTTTCTCCAGCAGAGGAGGG